CATTCCCATCACTTGCCACCCCTTCCGAACCCCACAACCGACAACCACCACCTTTGGATTGAAAACTTTTGGAACTTCTGTGTTGTGTTTGTTGTTATTTCTTTTTCGGTGTTGGTTGTAACTGCCTATTGATTTTTTAGTAATATTATTTGTTTGCTTATTGTTGTGCAGGTTAACTCCCATATCATCGACTCTATTGAGTTGGTTTTCTGATTGATTGGATTCTTGTCTCTGACCCGAAATCAGTGTCTTCTTCTCTTGAATTGGCTGCTTATAGTGTTATACCACTTATTTAAACGTTATCTATTCTTGTGGCCCTTGTCTTCTTCAAGGCTTCTTCTGCTTATAAACATTGCTCATTTCTTATTTTGTTGATTGCAAGCTTTAAGAATTTAGTGTTCCTTATCCAATTATTTCCCTTTATATTTTTTTTTGCAAGTCTCATTTTCACCTCAACATAAGTAACCTTATACTTTGCAAGGCAAACCTGCATTTTTTTTTTAATTTACCAAAGATGAGATTTCGGACCGTTATAATCTACTCTCTTTTTTTTGCTATGGGAAAATTTTTCGTTGAGCCTCCCCAATTCGGAGGTTATTTGTAAAGTTATATTAGATTTATACTTGGTTGATAACTTCTTTGTTGGGCATTATATCATTATAAAACTATCTTAAGAAGCAAATTATATTAAACTAATTTCACGTCGATCATACTATGTGTGGTTATTCGATGATAATGCTTAAACTGTCTTGTTACTTTGTCTCTTTTGAGGAATCATCCATGACTTTTGATTGTTTTTTTTTTTAACTTTGCCTACACTATTTGAGCCAATTAACTTTATACGCTCAACACTATTTTTATTAAGCCTTTGCAAATAGATGCAGCTACAGCTCTTCTCTTTAGATGTCTGTGACTAGAGTTGTGGTTGAATTGAATGTCTACATTCCTCTTAAAAAAAGGGTGTGGATTGATTTATTTTTTATGGTTATTGTTAGAAGGTGGAATTTGAAGGCATTCTTTCATATTGTTCTTTTTTCTGAAAATTTTTCTGTGCATAACTAATTTGAATGTTTTAAGACTCATTTGAAACTGAGCTAATCAAAAAATAAAAGTAGCAAGTTGATGATTAGATTCTCTTTTCAATTTAGTGGTTGCTACTCCTCTTACTTAAGATTAGGATTGCACTTAGAATTAAATTAATTTTAGATCTTTCAATAGAATTAGAATCTTTTGTGCCTGCCCTTGCTATTGCCTCAGAGAAATGGTCACCTTAACTCTTGCAAGCTAGAACATTGATCATGAACCTCCGAGGCCCTAGCATAGTTGTGATCATCTTAATCATATTATTGAAGATGTCAATTATATTTGAGGAGCAATATATTTTGATGAGAGTTTGCAGAGCAGTTGATATCAGAATTAATCCAAACAACAATGGGAAAAATTAATATAAGGGATTACAACCAACCAAACAGAAACAGGAAATAACAACAATACTACACATTGAAATTTGAAATTGTAATAATTGACAATATGAACAAAAGCTCGTCACTAGATTTAGGGGTGTGAAAGGGCGCGGCGACAATGGCAACAAATGATTGTTGGTAGCTGCAAGGGGAGGTGCAAAGCCATAGGGTGCACCTAGCGTGGTCACTGTCCAGAGCGGATGGAACAATGATGGTAGCAAGGGGGAGGGCTAGAATCACAGCAACAACAAAGGAGGAGGTTGGAACAGTGATGGCGACGAGGAAGGATGGTTGGAACAGTGGGAAGCTCTAAAAAACAGTCGGGATGTGGCTTTCGGGGCAGTTGTAGTGTGGAGGAATGCGGGGTAACGAAGTGGGAGGGATGTAGAGGAGTCAGGAAAGGATGTCACATCCCTGGTTCGGAAGACGGTACACCCCGACAACGTGGGGCATGATGAAATGAAATGAACTTGTTTTGTATTCTCGAAGAAAGACTTGCATACAAATTAAAAGAGAAAATAAATTTTATTAATACTGAAAAGTTCATGATGCAACTGAACTGAAAATAGTAAACTAGCTGAATAAAAAAAAAATGATAACATGGAACAACCACCTAGACCCAACAAAGAAAAATGTATTACTAAAACAAATGCTGAGAAAAAAATACCAAAACTGGGATATTAAAACTAAAAGGTTTGTTCAAGTGGAGACGGTCCTATCGGTGACTGAATATAACTTGCTCTGCAAAAATATCAAAGATTGAGTTTGACAAACATACTCATTAAGTAATGGCTATTTATTAAATCATAGATGACAAAAGAAGTACGACATGCAGTATGAACGACAAATAGGGATGAATATTTTGTGCATATATAAAATCACGAAACAAAAAGAGAGTGGTAAACTAAATATGCCCAAATATCATAAGAAAACATGCAACCAAATTTCTTATTATTATGTTTTTCATTTATATTTATATAGTCGGTTTTAACACACCTTGAAACCGGGAAGGTCATAGACTTTTTCTGTAGAGTCGTCACTCTATGGGCCCATCGACCCGTCTAGCCCATATCCAAAAGGGCTCCACTGGCCTACATATCATCACACATGCATATCCAATATTTTTCACAGGTATAATATATAAGAATTATGCTATTTCACATAAGCTTGTGATATGACAGAAGTTCACATGTAATTTCATTTCAGTTGAGTACAAGGAAGTAAAATATCATAATTACAAGAATAATTCAAATTTGCTGGAATTCTGCATCAGTACATTTATGCAGTTGGTTACTTCATTATGAGCAATAATAGAAACATATAAAAATGTAACATAATAATTATAATTGAAGAATCAAGGCATGACTGACATTCTAATGAAATAATTATGAATATACTATAAACAATAATGATTACTGCCCCCAACGAGGAAGTATACGTTTATTCTTTAATAAAAAAGTAGTTACTTGCCTCGAGACTGTAATTGCGACACTTCTACAAGTTCGACGGTTCGACTAGCAATCCTACACAATTTAGAATTAAGATATAAATGATTAAGCAATTAAACTTATTTTTTCGTTAAATTTGGTGTATTCTAATAAACCTTCAAAGATTTAATATATGTACGCATATATAATAAATTATTTTATTACATTCTTAAATGAAGGAAGCTATGAATTTAATTAACTTTAAATAATATAATGAGAATAATATTTATTTTATTTTGATATAGGGGAAAGTTAAAATTTCTGAATTAATTGATGGGGGATTTACATAACACTTAAAGATTTAATTAAATACTAAAAGAAAAAGAAATCATCTAATCCTACAAGCCCTTAAATCCCATTTCTCCTCTTGTTGTCATAAGTTTTGGATTGGTTAAATATCGCAGGAAGACAGATTCACGAGATTTAGAGAGGTTGAAGCACGCGGCTGGGAGAAGGTGGACAAACGAGGTTTACCTTACTCAATAGTTTCGGGTGGGAGCAAATGAAAGTTTTGGTGTGCATGCCCACAATCCTGCCTTCTCGAATAGCTCTAACTGTGACTGTATCGCATGGGTTCGGTCACCAAGGCGATGGTTTCGGGCATAATCGGGAGAGGGAGGAGGTAAGGGAGAGGGGGGAGTGATGTCCTAACTCCTGTCGATCCTCCCTAAATAGCTGCGAGAGGCGGCATGTTGATTAGATCGGGAAGGCGGTAGGTGTGAGTGGTAAGAAGAAAAAGGAAAGAAATCACTTGTCGATTTGGGACAACTAGTTTTGGAAAGGCGGCAACGCGTAAAGGAGTAAGAAAAGGAAATGAGTTTTTTTTTTTTTTAAATTTAAATTTGGATCTTACAGATTAAAGCACCACATTTGGAGCGAGATGCATTCGAAGCAGCACTGTACCCTTAGAGGATAATCACCACCTCAGAACGAGAGCAATCGAAGCACCACCTACCTTCGGATATGGCCCTAAACGTGAAAAACAAAGACTTCGACGGTGTACAGAAGCATAAGAAAAATTTTAAACCTAAATACATGATTCAAATATATAAGTCCTAGGTAATTAGTTTTGGGCCCACTGTTGGAAGCAGGCGTCAAATCCACATAAGGAAGGTCAGCCGAACCCCTCAATTCTCTAGTCTTAGGTTGCAGGGAGGTTTTCAAATTCGGTCCATTCTGCAGGAGTGGTCGCGGGACTGCAGCACAAGTCGAGTCCCCGTAGCATGGATCACGTAAAGGTTCCATTCGCGAAGCTCCCACATAAGCAATGACAGCTGGGTAAAAATATGATTTTTCAAATCTAGTTTTGAAAGTGAGGAAGAAATAAGTAAAATAATCTATCGGTAATTTCCAAGATTCTTGAAGTATGACTTTGCAACTGAGAGTTTTTGTATCTTAGCTTTTTTGCCTAAGGATTTATCGTCCTTTGTTTTCATATTTTTCTGACCTTGTCTCTGTATTTTAGATTTTCAATATTTCACCACGTTGTCCTCGTATCATTTATTTGCTATTAATATATGCTTAAAAAATGTAGTGGTTTAGGTGGCATCATATGTTAATGTGAATCTTGTTATTTTTTCATCAACATATTTGTCTTGAAACAACTTGCAGCAGAAAAATATAGTTATGTTCTTGAAATATGTTCACTTAGATGTGAGTCTATTTGTTTGGTTGTCTAAAATGGTGTATTGGCTTATTAATGAGTGAATGCACTTAAACCTCGTGTTATTAGCATATTTTTCTTTGATTTTTGAGTGAGTGCACTTACACACTTATAGCATATTTTCTTTGAAATAACAAATTTTGTATGTTAGCAATAAGGAAGTTCCAAGCCTTGCCTGCATAATCAAATAGCAAAAAAAGGAATTTACATAAATAAGATGCAACAACAACTGCAGATGTGAATTAATGTGATGGCAATTGGATGTAGATTTCCTTGAGAAGTGCAGAGTGTTTTTCCATTTTCCATTTGAGTATCATTTTTCTGCTCACTTTTTTCTTAGTATCTTCTTTTTCATAAAGCATGCTAATTAAGTTTTCACACGTCCAGGCAGCAAATGATATTCTAAAAGCATCACACTGGCGTAAGCTATCGATTGACAGCGAGTATGATTATTCTCCTTTTTTAACAGCCCATAGAGACATAATTTAAGCAATCTCATGTTCTATTGCAAACCTTCCATCAGTTATTCTAACCTCACTAGTTTTGGTGTGAAAGGCTCAATTTTGAAGGCCATCGGCCCCGAGTAAGGCAATATGCACGTGATTTGAAAAGGCTTATAAGAATAGGAAAAGGCAAGTTGAAAACTTTTTTGGCTGAATTTATTGGTGTCCTGATTTTTTATATAATTTTTTCTTGTGTTATTTTTATGGTCTTACAATGTTACTCTTCGTGCATATGAATTGCCTTTGTTAGGCATAAGTGGTTTATCCATACTGAAAAAAAAATGTTTTAGCTTAAAATTTTAAGTGTTATAAATTTGAAGAGTTTAATATTAAATTTACGTCTTGTTTATATTAAGATGCAATCATTCTAATGGCCTTGCTTTTATTTTTCATCCCTAAATTCCGGGCTTGTCCCGCAAGCAGGCTAGCATTGAGGCTTGCAAGATAACCAATGCTGCAAAGCAGCGGCAATTATGGATATTCTGTGATGGAAGAGACTATATTTTTACTTGACAATTGTGATACTCTTCGTTCTACAATCTTGATGCTCTAAATTTTGTACCTTTTTATACTCTAATTTAATCATTTCCTTGGCGTGTTGATGAAATTGGAAAACTTCGAGATAATATATAATTGAAAGAAAAAAGGAAGGCTAAGGCATAGCATGAAGGCGAGAACAAAAATGAAAAAATAAAAAGCTAAAGAATAGGGCTACATGCATATAAATTATTAACAGCCATATTATTTACTAAACCAGGACTTGAGTGGAAAGCAGAAGAGTCTAGAGTTATTAAAAAAAAAAAAAAACGTGATTATTCTCTAACAAATCATCAAACTGTAGAACATCTTTTACTTGCAAGTCAAGAATATTTTGAATTTATCCCATGAGGATGAAGTTATATGCACAAGTCACATTAGAATTCTGAAATGCAAAGACAAGGAGAGATAAGATAATATATAAAATAAGGGCGTATAGATACTACCATACAATTCCTATGTATTCACACTTGTAACACCTATACTTTATTTTCTTACATTTATAACACCCAAAATCTTCAAATAATGTAAAAAGTAATACTTCTACTAACTTTTAAAAAGTGAATTACATTTTTTATTTACGGGTAAAGTGCTATATATATATGTAAAAATAAAAGTTTAAATGTTAGATATGTGAATACATAAAAAAACGTGGTATGTATGTAAAACTTCTGTTAATCAATTGATATAAATATGTCATCAATCATTTATGTGAACCTCTACCTTCTTAAGGTGCTTCTACTTAGCATGAAAGCAATGTTGGAAAAGTTTATGCGATACATTTGTTTAGGTTAAAAATTCTAGAAAATAGGTATGGGGAGAAAAAGTTATGTCACTTAATTATTTACATGTAGGGTACATATATATATATATATATTTGGAAACCAATCTCTTCTAGTTTACAAACATAGCAAATATAACTAAATTTGGAAAGGTAATAATTCTGAAACAAAAAATAACAAAAGCATAAACTGAACTAATTAAGGAGTTTCTAAAGTTGATCTCCCAATTCAATCTTTAGTAATAGGTAAGGGGTCGACCGATACTCCAAAGAAAGTAGCCGCTTACTTCATGATTTTCCACACTACTCCTCAAGCTGGGTCATGAATGTTGTAGAGGCCAAGCTTTATATTGAAATTTGAGAAGGAAATTAAATGAAGAGCTTTGGTGAAGAAATCAATAACTTGTTGGCTTTTCAGGATGTAACTTAGCTGTATAATTCCACCATTAGCCTTTTCAGAAATGAAGTGCTTATCAACTTCAATATGCTTGGTCCTTCCATGTTGCGTAGGATTATTGGCAATACTAATAATTGCTTGACTGTCACAAAACATATGTACATGCCTATTGGAGGCACACCCCAATTCCCTTAATAATTTATGAATCCAGATCTTTTCACAGATTCCTAAAGTGCCATATACTCTGATTCTACAATGCTTCTGGAAACAACAACTTTATTTTTACTTGTCCTTGTAATCATATTTCCCCATACATACAAGCAGTAACTGGTGGTGGGCTTTCTGTCAGTGAGTTTCCCAACCAAACTTTCATTGGTGTCTGTTTTTTATTTTCTAAAAAATTAGTCCATAACCAGGAGTTTTCTTAAGAAATCTTAGATTCCTGTACACCATCTCCAAATGCTCCTCATTTGGACTATTCATGTGTTAGCTCACAATACTGACAGAATATGTAATAGTTGTCCTAGTATGTGTCAGATGAGTTTTCCTACCAATTTTTGGTATCCTTCTTTATCCACATGTATAATTTCTTCTTTCATATTAGACTTCTTGTTGGGTTCCATTCGAGCATCAACAGGTCTGCAATCAATCATCTTTATTTCCTTCAATAGATCTAGGATGTATTTCCTCTATGATATAATAACGCTTTGCTTGGAGCTTGCCACCTCCATACCTACAAAAACATCTCATGTTTCCTGGGTCTTTTTTTTCAAACTTAGCGGCAAACACTTAGTTGATTTTAAGAATTTCTCTTTCATCATCACCAGTAAGAATTATGTTATCTACATAGATGATCGGTGCAATAATTTTATCTCCTTGAGCATATTTTATGAACAATGTATGATAAGCTTGAGTTTGAGAATATTTATTAAATTTCATAGTTTTAGCAAATTATTCAAACCACACACTTGGTGATTGCTGAAGCCCATAAAGAAACTTTATGAATTTGCATTCTAGGTGTTTATTGGAATCATTCTCAAGTCCTGGTGGTATCTCCATATACAGTTTTTCTAGATCCTCATTTATGAAGACATTTTTTTATATTATATTGTTGCAGTCCTCATTCTTTGTTAACTGCTACTGAAACGAAAACTCTAGTAGTGTTGGATTTGACAACTAGTGCGAAGGTCTCGTGGTAGTGACACCCATAAACTTTCTCTCAGCTATCTTATTTTGTTGTGGGATATTAATAGATCAACTCATATGGATGATTTCATTTTTTGAAAAATAGAACCCAAAGATGAAGTTAAAATATTCTTTTGCATTATCAGTTTGAGAATATGAATTTTGCATTGAAATCGAGTTTGAATCATGTAATGGAAGGTTTAGAAGATTTGGGTTATTTTAGATTTCTTCTTCATTAAGAATACCCAAGTAGTGCAAGTATGATCGTTAATAAATGAGATAAACCACATAGCCCTACTTAAGATTTTCATCTTTGAAGGTCCCCAAATAATATCGTGGATAATGGAAAAAGGGTGTGAGGGTTTGTACTAGGTAATGCGGTAACTATTTTAGTGTTTTTGACAAATTGATAAATCTCATATTGATAAAAATTAGATTTTTTTTATTGATAAGCAAATGAAGCTTCTTCATTAAGAATACCCAAGTAGTGCAAGTATGATCGTTAATAAATGAGATAAACCACATAGCCCTACTTAAGATTTTCATCTTTGAAGGTCCCCAAATAATATCGTGGATAATGGAAAAAGGGTGTGAGGGTTTGTACTAGGTAATGCGGTAACTATTTTAGTGTTTTTGACAAATTGATAAATCTCATATTGATAAAAATTAGATTTTTTTTATTGATAAGCAAATGAAGATACAACTTTGCAATATGATTGAAATTATGATGACCCAAACGACAATGTCATAATATGACTTGATTTTCGACCGACATAGACTTAATGACTCGTAAATTTCAGGTAAAAGTGAGGGTGGAAGCACTTATGTGCTTTGAAAAAGACTTTGATTAAGAAGGTATAAGCTAGCATTGCCAATCACCTTCTCCGATTCAACACCTGAAATTTACAAGAGCTTGCAACAAATTTAGCTGTACATTTCATATCGTAAGTAAGCTTACTGATAAATATCAAATTGCAGTCTAATTGTGGAATATATAAAATAGAGGAAAGACTGAGAGAGCTCTACATCTCCTTTTCCAGCAATTTTTGAGTGTGATCCATCTACAGATCTAGATGTAGAAAACCTTGATAGTTGACTAGAGCGTTGATGTCTCGGTCATATGATTAGGTGCTCCTGAATCTATGATCAAGTTCTAAATCTCCCATTACTAGCAAGATAGAAGAAAGAAAAATTACTTTGGTATATCACTAGATTGATGTGCTGTTCTGAATTACCTATTAGGAGTTATTCCAATACTTCAAGCTTTTTCTTGGTGAAGGGTTTGGATTTGACCTCCAGAGTTGAACTTAACATCTATGTGTAATTAGGGCTGTTGCGGCTTTAGGAGGTTGGCTACTGCTGCAGGTTGCAGAGAACTGCAAGAGGATTCCGATGCAGAAGGGCTCACAATTGGGGAATTCTGACTGCAGGGAGGAGTATCGACATTAGAGAAAGTTCCACAATAAGCTCCGGTTGTTGAGAAGATCCAACGAGGTCCAACAAGCCGACTTTGAAGATTTCTGACGGCCGTTGGTGGATTTCTTGCAACTAGAGAAAGCAGGCAGAAGGCTGCGAAAGCCTGTAGAGAACGATTGTAGGGTGCAGCTGCATGGAGAGATCCGACTGAGAGGCCCACAAGCAAAGTTGTAGGGAAGAGTCCAAGAGGAAAAAGTCCTGACTCTTGAATTGCAGATGAGGGCATGGAGAAATTCAGAAGGGCCTGCTGGGTTCAGAAGGGCCTGCTGGGAGAAATCCAAGTTTCGACAGAGCATAATCCGGTACAGGAGATCTTCAACTTAAGGATGATTTTCGTTAAAAAGAGAATATCAATCCCCGTAGTGAGGGAGAGTTATTTCGCTAGGGAGAGAAAACTCTATGGAGGCAGCAAAACTTGTGGCTGCTTGCGTTTGAAAACCTGGATTCGGAATAGTGCGACACAATCACTCAAATAGGAAGGAGTAACGCGCGCCCGGACTGGAAGGATTTGGACGAGCATGTTGTTAAATTGCTCCTCACGCGAAAACGAAGATCTGCTATAGTAGGATCCTGTGCGCAGAGGGACCAAAATCTTGTAGCCAAAATTATGGAGGAATAGTGAACAAGAGTCAGAATTGGGAAGGGCCCGCAGGCAGGATAGTGGTTGGAAGGAGGATTTTGGCACTAGTCGGTTGTTGGAGAGGCTCCTACGACTGAAATAAGATTTAGGGCTTGCTTCTTATCTCTGATACCATGTATAAAATAGGTGTGAGGAGGAAAAAATACTTTATCTAATTATTCATATTTAAGATAAATATATTTAGGAAAACCAATTCTTCTGAATTTATAAACATACCAAATATATCTAAATTTGTAAAGAAAATAATTTTTAAATAAAAAATTTAAAATCATAAATTGGAAGAGAATAAACTAATTAAGGAGTTTCCAAAGTTATCTCCCAATTTAATCTTCTATGATAGGTTGCCGACTGACCCACCCAAGAAAGTAGCCGGTTACTTCCTAATTTTCCACAAAAATCATAGTTCATAAAATGCTCAAGGATGCTACTTTTATGGAATATTAATTTTGAGAAAATGTCAACATAAAACTTAAAATAGTTGAGGTTCCCTTTAATTTTATGCTATCTATCGTGTCTTATTAAGTTCTTTGACTTCTAAAATCTAATACAAAATAGTTCCTTAACTTCTCAATTATGATCCAAAATAATCGAATAGATTGGGTTATTTTGGATCATATATGATGTGTTGATGGATTAAAATGATCTCATTTGTAATTTGGGATTAAAATTGTCCCATGCAAATATTTCATATATTAATTTGATTTTTTTCCTCCATTATTTTTAAATAAATGCTCTATGACGCTTAATGTTGTCCTTTAAAAGAAAAGCATAATACTAAGTTACGTGTTATCGAGATGAGAATAATTAGGTGGTTGAGTGGCTTTGCACTTAGAGACAAAATGTGAAATGAATATATCTGTGGTAGGGCTGGTGTAGCTCCAGTGACGGACATAATTAGAGAGAGTCGTCTTAGGTGGTTTGGTCACATTATACGTCGACCATCTGATGATTCGATTTGGAGGGTAGATGTTTTAGATTCGACTTATGTTAAGAAAGGCAGACGTAAAACTTGGGCTTATTGTATAAAAAATGATCTTAATTTATTAGAACTAAATGGGACACAATGGAAAAAGATTCATGTAGCCGACCCCACGTAGTGGGACTATGGCTTTGTTGTTGTTATTGTATTATCTTCAAATAAATGACTCTTCAAACAGAGTGATCTTTTATAGTACTCTACATGCTTGTGAGTCAATGGCTAATTAATCTTCTTAAATGATAATAATGCTCTAGTCATTTCATAATAGAGATTTTTACTAGTATAGTGAAATTCTTTATTTATCAATGTGTCACTCATTTGCTTATAATTACTGGTATAACTCCCTATTGTTTAAAACCTTATCAATACATTACTCTGATTAATTTTTGTTAATATAGATTAAATTATTATTAGCATAAAGAGGATTCTCTTTATTGATGTTAGAAATATTAATTTTATGTGAATGTTAGTTAGTTATTTACATACATAGTACTTAAAACTATTAAATTTACATATAAAGCATCTCAATTAACATTGTTGATGGATTTGCAAAATTTCACCAGATTTTACAATCAACGCTATCTCCAGCTTCGACACTGATGCAACCCAACCGATGGAGGTAAATAAATAGAGAGAGGGACGAGACAAGAAATTAAAATACACAAAAACTAATTACTTTATTTTCTTCTCCTCTTTTCCAGTCTCCTCCCTCAACCAATAGTCGAGCATAGCAAGTGTCTCGTGTTGGGGGAGATGCGAAAATTGATTCAAGAGATTTAGAGCAAACATAGAAAGGAATTGCACAAAATAAGAAAACAAATAACACAAGATTTAACGTGGGAAAATCCGAGAATGGGAAAATGCACGGAGCCATATCACAAAAAGAAATCTACTATGACGAAAATGAGGTGATTCATACAAATTAAACCACACGCGAGCCTCTCCACACTTTGTAACACTTCAGGACACATCTTTTCTTTTGCACAATGGAAAACTCGAAATTCAACCTACCTCCGTTGACAGAGGCAACATAATAAGTAATAACTTCCTGAAATTTGTTACGATTGCGCTGCGGCTCTTCAATGGGCACTAGGGCGGTGCAATGTCGTAATTTAGGGTTCTAAATTTGAATTGGGAGCTGCGACGCTGTTTGTCTCAGTGTAGGGGTGCTGCAGTGCTTTCCTTCGGGCTCTAGAGTGTCGTGTTCTTGGGTTCTGAATCTAGACTGGGTGCTGCGGCATTATCTTCTGGGCGTTGGGGTGCTCAGTAGAAAAATTTTTTTTTCGAGAGAGCACTCTCGACCCCAATATAGGATGGACACCCCCTTGTACCCCCTCGACAAACGCACTGTCAAGCTTGATCGGTGAAATCAAGGGCTCTGAGTAAACAAATGAATAACACTATAAGGCTTCACATAATTTTGGTAGCTGTTGAGCGCACGAGCATTATCATCTTATGCAAACTCAAAAATGTTTGGAGTATGGAAAAAAACATGATTTAGCAGCTTGCCTCTAGGCATAAAAAATTATAATTAGAGCTAAACCTAAATTTTCTTTTTTCTCAAAGGCAGAACAGAACCCAAGCCTTTCTTTCTATTGAGAGTGATCTGGACTTCACTAGGTCTGTTTTTACGTGAGTTTAACTTTCTTCTCTCATAACAATCCCTTTTGAATGTCTAAATGGTTTGTCAGTAAAAGATAAATTCTCAAGCAGTTTGATGAATTGAACCATGGCAATGTTTGCACTTTAATATAATATTGTTGAATGGAAACACATTAGAAGCTTCTAAGCAGGTTTTTTTTTAAAAATTTTGATGAGGCTGCTTCTGGGATGTTGGCACTATGTGCCCTTTTTATGTATGTCTGTTGTTGTGGAGAGTTAGCATTGTTTTTCTTCGAGCAATTAGCACCCAAACAATAAAAATATTTTTCCTAGAAATGGTGAACTGCACAGAAGCTGCATGTTTTCTTGTTGCCACAATTGTATTATTGCTAGTGTATTTTAATTATTTTTAATAATATTACACAGGAAAGATACTAGGGCCTTACGACTTTCCTGGGCGGTGTTCGGCTGCAGTTCCAATTTCCATAAATAGGATTTATGTAATCCGATAAATCCAGATTAATCAAATAGGAGGAGCTCATGAGAGGACAAAATATATCCGTCTCTTAATCGGATTTACTAAATCTGAATTTACCTCAAACATGTGACGGAACGTGAGAAAAAAATGACAGAGCATGATGAAATTCAATTTAACGGAGCGTTAGATTTATTTTTCATTTTTTCGTTGTTTGGCTGGATTTAAGTTAAATCCATGGCTAAATCTTATTATAAGTATGCTATAAAATGCCCCCCTAGAGTGTTCTGGTTGCGTGAATCCTAATATGTTCAGTTTCTCTTTCACATATGCTCATTTCATTTGGACATATAAAATAGATTTGAAGGCTATGGTTTGCCTTTATGAACCTATTCTTGATTATAAAATAAAGGTGATTGACAAAAAGTTATCGTTACAGGCCCAGAGACGCTTCTTCAGAAGACTTCTGAACTGGGGGGTCATTTGAAGGCAGATAGATATCTTGAAGGTGAAGAAGAAGATGCCATGGAAGCACATAAGTGGAGATGTGTTTGTACTACAAACGGTAATTGATTTTTCTGTAATTTGTAAACTGTTTGAAGTTGCTTCCCTAAAGCACATGTTTGTGAAAGTTAGGACAAGGGGACAGGAAACAGAGCTTGGGATCCTTTCACCCCTTGATGAAAAGTTGAAGTGACTGTTTTTGAGAATTTTTGTTGAATTCAAAGCCAAGGGGCATGGGCTATGAATTTTTTTTAGTATTACCATCGTTGTATCAAAGCCCTACAATTATCAGTATCCCCTAAAAAAGTTCTATTTTACAATCCTACATTTAACCAACAAGGCCTGAATGTCTCATAATTTGCCATTCAAGGGGCAACGAGTTAGGTATATAAAATTGTGGCACGCCTTTCTAATTGAAAACTGATTATTGTATTTACATTCAAACTTGTTTTATTTAGAGTTCTCACTAAAAAGTTTTATCCGACACTCCTATTTTGTGAGAACTTTATGTGAAACAGTTTTATGGTGCTTTTTGTCTTTCATAATCCATCCATCTTTTTTGTAGGTATCAGAGTATTCGAGGAAGCCAAGGATTTGAAGGTTTTTTCTTTTCTTACTGAATATTGGTCATCCTTATTTCTTTCATTGTATTATATCTGTTCAAGTGACTATTGGTTTCTTTCTAATCTAGGCAATCTACTATCTTATCGTTTCAGACATTTCAGAGAATTTTATTTCTCAACTTCAGATGGGGGATGAAAAAACATATGAAGCAAAACGTCTTGTAGTGGTGTCTCTTTAGTTTGCTAAGAAGTAATCCTTATATCATGATTGTAACAGTTATCATGCAACTGTAAAATTATCATGGGTTCTTTAGTTGTTTGACCCTTGAAAGTATGTACATTCAGGCCTATGGCACCCCCAAAATCATTCAAGGGATTTTTTCTTATATTACTTAAATTTACTTTAATGTTAAACAGTGTCAAAATCGTCTAGTCTCTTTGCAAGGGGCCATTTTTAGTCTCATAATCTATACAAGTGTCAATTTAGTCTTTAGCCTCTTTTAATATGAGCCAAAATAATTCCTACGGAGGACTATTTTAAATCAAAATTAAAGAGTTTAGGAACTGTTGACCTCAATTTTCGTGAGGTCTAGTTTTTCTCGTAGGAGTTAGGATCTAGCCTCAGGGGTCTTCCTGCGACTATCTTAGAACCTTAGAAGTGGTGCCCGCCTCGTTTTAGTTCGACCCGTTTCCGTCCTCTTTTGGAGTTTCGCGTGTGTGGTATCGACTTCTAACGCTTAGAAGGATGAAACCGACATGAGGAAACCCAAAATGGATTCCTATAGGACCTTTCCGAGCCTTAGGGTGGCCTTCTGCACAATTCACACTCCTGCGCGCACCAGCTTCGCGATTCGGAGAGTCGACGCGTCCGATTGCTGCAATTCGCATTGACTGCACCGTTATTTGTCGGGGACTCGAGTAAACCACTTGTGACGATCGATCGCGGGCCAATATTTGGTGAAGTTTGAATTTTGACGCGTTTTGACCCGATTGTCGACGATGTCGTCCGAGCGACACCGTATGACGAAATGGACTGCGCCAACGCGTCCGGAACGTCGATTTTGCCCGGGGAGGACACCCATTTTGTCGCGTCG